GCCGAGAAGGGATAAGATCAGACCGTTCGGAATTTTTTCCAGAGAACTTGCTTTCAAAATTGTAGTCTTTTGGGGATATGTTGCTGCGATATGACAGTATCGGCGGACATGCCAATCCATGGTATTTGGCAGAGCAAGAAGTATGTCGGAAAGAATTCCCGAGAAATGAGAAAATGAGAGAGAGAACGGCAGAATTACATGTGTCACCTCGCATTTTCTCGTCGTGTGGTACGCATGAATTCACAGCAATGCTTCCGTTAATAACACATTCTTTCTTCCTCAATCCGTCTCCCACAGCAGGTTCATGAAGAACACAAATTAATCGGTTCTACTGAAGGCAAGGCTCGCTCGAAGCTCGAGGAACCAAAAAATGTAACGCTTTTTGGCAGGAAATGCCATGGTTGCGGAGAGTGTTCATAAGTGGTCTGACCAATTTAGAAAGGGGTTCCCGCTACAGTTGACCTTCTGGCGAAATTGGAAAGGTCTAGTACATTGGAAACTCCTGGAAAGGAGAATACAGAAGTCTTCAGAAGGTCAACCTTTACAAAGCCCAACTTCTTTGAGTAAACGAGCATGCCACTGAAAACCCGGTGGAGGAAGTCAAATCATCTTGACCCGCGCAAATGTGCGATCTTACACCAAAAAACCGTTGACGTTGCCCTTCTAGAGTTTTCTGGAGGTCGCCCATTGTATTTTAGCACCACGGACTATCTCTCTCCCTCCGCTCGTTAGTCTGCGTTCATACTTTGCGGCAGCGTCCATCAGTGTCCACCGGCATCCACTAGCATTCTGGGCGTCTGACCCGTCAGCGGCTAGGAAAGTGCAGATATCAATACAGCGTCTGCCAGCGTCTACCAGCATCCACCAGCGTTCACCAGCGACCGGGAGTAGAGAGTATGGGGAAGCAGGAGGGTAGCAAACAGCTCGATTAGGCGAGGGGAAATTGGACTTGTGCAACAGCATCAGAATAGCTAAAGCACATATTTATGCAACTTAATGTGCGGTGTAGTGTACTTGTACGATGCGATTGAACACGCCACAATTTCACGAGGCCTTTGCCTGCTACCCTCCTACTCCTAATCCAGCTGTTTGCTACCCTCCTACATTCCCACACTCTCTACTCCCGGTCGCTGGTGAACGCTGGTGGACGCTGGTAGACGCTGGCAGACGCTAGATCGATACCTGTACTCCCCTAGCCCTCGGAACGCTGGTGGACGCTGACAGACGCTAGCAGACGCTCGTAGACGCTAGATCGATACCCATACTTTCCGAGTCGCTGACACTGCAGTTCAGAACGCTGGTGGATCTAGCAGAAGCTAGTGGAAAGCGCAAGAGTAATGACGTGCAGCTATCGAATCAGACAAGATATTATCTGCATCATGGTTGAGAACCTCAAAAAACTGCTTAATAGGCTCTCCCTGGCAGAGAATTGCTAGGTAATTTGTTTGCGGGGAAGAGCAAAAAATAGATTGTGAGTCGTGAGCAGGTTTATGCTCAAAGCCGAATCACAATCTTTGACTGGTTCTCGCTAAACCGATGCGTTGTGAAATAACAAATTATCTCTGGAAAGAACAAACAGGAACGACCATTAAATCTCCGACGAATTTCATGCATACCCGTGAAAAGAGGACTGTTTTCAGAAAGGAGCATTACTTATGAGCTTGAAAGAAATTACGCATAGTACTGGATTTGATTAAGCGACTTCATGGGAATCACCGAGCAATGAAGTCGAAGTTGAAATCTAGGAAGACCATACAGGTCGGATTCTTTCATAATCCGATTACTAATCTTTGAGAGGATTCAAATTGCAAAAGCAGCTCTTAGTAAACAGAGACATACGAGAGAGCGCTGATGTTAGAATGGAGTTCAACAGCTTTGAATTTACCTCACCTTCGGACTCCAAAAGATTGCTGGACAGTCGTCCAGAACTGCAGTGTCAGTTGAAACCAAAGTACCTCTGGTGGAGGTGAGTGGTCTTTCCGAGAACGGTGAAGTTACACGCCCACGTAATGAAATTGAAATGAAACACAATGAATTTTTTCACATAATTTAGTATGTGGGAGGCAATTATTCATCTTTCAGCTGTTGCGGAGGAGGCCGAAAATTGTGAGTGTTTCACAGTTACGAAACAATCTCACAAACTTATATGTCACCCACATGAAAACCATCTATGCGTCTGGACACTGCTAGAGGCAGACTGTCTCACATTTATTCCATGCCGTTAGCAGACTAGCTGAGACTTTCAATGAACCTGGGATAGTGATGTGCAGGTAATACCAGGCACGTCGTACGGTAGGCATCCTCGCAGGGGACATAGTTGGTCGACTGACGGGAGAGGGTTCGTATTCGTCTTGATGACTGGCTTGGTTCGGTTCGTGTTTCCTCATCGCTGGGGAGGAGATCGTATTTGCCTTTGAGAAGAATTTCCCGAATTTCCCGTCTCATAAAAGGATAAAGTCTTCGCCGTTCATCAATCCCTTTGTCGGATGCGGTTGGCCTGCGTGGGAGTCAACCAGAGATTTGAACCCAGAACCTTACGAGTGGTTAGCGACTCCCAGTGCCACTACAGCACCTCCATCTTATATTCCCTCTAATACCCCTCTGCAACTATATTTATGAGAAGATGATAATTATTTGGTGACGAGTTCCACCCCCTCCCCACCCTTTCCTTCACGGCCAGTTTTTTTTTGGGGAACACTGTAAAAGAGAGATACCGCAGAAAGTGGTAAGATGATAAGTAGGATGGCGAAGGTTGGAGAGTCGTACGAGAGGATGAAAAATGGGAGGGAGGAGTCGTAGTTTCCAAAAAGTTTCCTTCAGTAGCGGAAAGTGCCTCGGTTTGTATTTCACATTCTGTCAACGATCGTTTGAACAGATTCGTCCTCTTCAGAATTTGGTGAGATGGAAATCCAGGCCTAACAATCCAGTCAAGCATCCCGCCACCAATTAAGAGACTTCCGGGATCAAGTGACCCGCTAATTCAGGACAGGAGGGGTATAAATATGGCAACAAAGCTCGAAAAAAATGTGTAACTTTTTTGTTGCGCTTTTTTATTATCTTCATTTCAATTACATTTATCGTACAATAATGATCATGAATGCGCCCTATTTTATTTCATTCTTTATTTAGGCTTGCACGTAAGGCGCGCCAGGGTTGAAGAGTCTAAGAAAATGCGTTCAGCTATAGGAAAGAGAGAGAGAGAGAGAGCAAGCATGTGTTTGTCTACTGGGGAGTCACATGTAAACCCAACATTAATAAATAATAGGCAAGGCAAATTCAATCAAACAAGGATACAACAAGACTGGTACAACAAAGTCTGCGTTAGATGAAGGTGGTTTACCAATCCCGAGGGAGCATCCAACTCACCTGAGGCTTGTTCTCAAATCTAATACAAGGTACAGTGGACAAATAAATGGATTTTGAACCTTTTGCCCAACTGTTTCTCAAGTTCGAAAGGAAAGGAAATGAATATGCTGAAGTAGGAAGAGTTGCTCAGAATTAAAGGCAGTTGGCACGATAATTTGGTGCTCTGTTTTAAATGGTAGAATAGTGGGAAATGGCGAAAGAACAAGTGAAACAATCAGGACTATCAAAAAGGCCTTCATTTTCGAAGAGGCATCTTTCCAGTAAGTGCTACGGTACGGCAGGTAATCCATGCGCAACCGCTTCATATCAACCCCTTCGCTTCATACTGTACTTCGCAAATGAAGCGATACGAGCATCAGGATCGGTCGGACATTTGTGGGCGGGCGGGCGCGGTGGGCGTTCGGGTCGGTATGTTGCAGCTTGATAGGGCGCTATAAGGGCACCTTCCTTGGGAAAGGCGCCACACAGCGCTTGCTCAAGGGCGCCGAATTCACTCCTGCCGGGCGTATTAGTCATACAAGTCTTGGAGATTTAGTGCCAACTGCCTTTAAGGTTGGTCTGTCATGTTCATGAGATTTATATGACAGCAAACAGTGAGTAAATCTTAACATTATGAGTATGAGCACATGAAAAATGGCTGCTAAACAAGACGTGTTCGCCGTCTGGTATAAGAGCTTATTTCATGAACAACTAATATTTACGATATTTTAGATCGAATGATTTACCCCCCCCCCCCGTTGTGCGCAGATCTCTGGGATTTAGCGGTCAAAGAAAACACAGAAACCTGCTGGACTTCTTACAAACAGTTTACTCGAAAGCTGGATAAGGCCCTTGCGAAATACTATGCAAGCGTTGAGAATAAAATAATCGCTTCAAAGGTTCCCTCCAAACTCTATAATTATATAAATTCACGATTAAAAGCTAGGAACAAGTTACCTGCGCTGGTAGTTGATGAGTCCCACCTCGCGATCAGTGATAAAGATAAAGCTGAGCTATTGGCCGAGAAGTTTCAACTAGCATTTTCAAACCATTGCGAACAATCCATGGGAGACCTCACGCCACTTTGTCCTGCCATGGAACAAACAGTTTGGTTTCATCGGGAGGAGATATATGAAGTTCTTTCTGCTTGGCCCACCTCTCCTTCTATTACCCCTGACTTCATCCCTTTTAAGTTCATCAAAATGGTACTGAACCATCTACTCTATCCCCTTGAGCATCTCTTCAATTTGTCTTATTTGAGGGCAGAGGTACCAGAACGTTGGAAGCACTCTTTAGTAACGCCGGTTCCCAAAAAGTGCGCGCGGCCTACGAACTCGCGCTGTGACGAATACCCCAATTAGTATTACCTCCCATTGTCTTGCTAGGGCTGTTCGAGAAAGATTTTTTGAAACGTCGCTTATAGCTCATCTGTGATCACAGTATATGTGTCTGGCTTCTCAAACATTTGGTTTTACATAAGGACGGTCATTGAGACTGCTCTTTCCTAGATCTTCCCTCAAATGACTTGACAAGCTCCTTAATGACCAAAGAAACCTAATCATCGTAGTTTACATTTTTGACTTTGCTAAGGCTTTTGACCGTGTTCCTATTCCACTTCTTATAAGTAAGTTGCGGTACGTTGGCCTGCACCCCAGAGCTATAAATTGGATAAGTTGCTTTTTGCAAAACCGTACGTACCAAGTCCGCATTGGCGATGCGTTATCCAATATTTTTTTTCGGCTAGCAGTGGTGTTCCGCAAGTGGCGTCTTATCTTCCATCTGTTGTTTCTATATACTGTTGTGACTACCCTATAGTTTCTGGACAACGGCTGTCACTTGCTTGATAGTATGCCGATGATTGCAAGATATACAAAGGTATCTGAGAAGCTAGCAGATAAGTAGTTCTCCCAGTGCTATCAACTGTGTGAACTCCTGGTCCATCTAGGTGGGTCTGCCCCATCCAGATAAAACCCCAAGTCTTCTGCGTTGACAAAACATAGATGTTGTAAGGATAAGATATAACTAGGCTCCATTCTGGAACTGCCAGACCAACTCAATGCGCGACCTGGCTTCAAGTTTGATAACACAGCTTTCCCTTGTGATAGTCCATTCATTGCACATCTGTGTTCTAGAGCATACACACAGGATCTTTAATGTTGGTTCAGGGCACGTGCGTCAAAAGCGATCAATAACACTTATCAGGGCTTACCAACATATGTCAGGCGTACCGATGGGCACTAACTGTCTTCTCCTACCTCACAAGAAAATAGATATGAGTGCTTACTCCGACGGGTGTCCAAAATAGTTAACAGAAACTTGCCATCGCGCCTGCCTGGCTTGCACTACGATATTTATTGCCAAAAAGGGCAGCGAACGTCGTCGTAAAAAATTAATACTCGCTCCAGTATGCATCGCCGTGAAAGATAAACGATCTGCGTTATGGCATTTAAAATTCCTGTACTGTAATAGGTGCGTCAGTCTGAATCTTTCTTTCGCGCACCCGTTTAGAGCTGAGGCACGACGCCTAAAATCCAAGGTTCGCTGGTGATAACCCAAATCGTCCAAATTCGTTTTCTGGTAAGGGTAATAGCTCGTCTCACAACTCTTACTCGTGACATCATGCATCTTCTGTCTGAACTCGCTTCAAGTTGTTGCCAAAATTGTGAACTTGAGGATCTCGCGGGCCTTCTTCTCATATGATTTCCTCTGTGCTAGTTCACCTTACCTCACTATTATTATTTTTATTCTCCTCTAATTCTAGCTTCTTGCCTGCTATGGTCACTGATTTTTTTTTCTTCTGTTTGATTTGCACTGGTATACCAATTGTTGTTGTGGTTTTTTGTTTTTCTCACGTGGGCTCATGCCTGCGTCAATAAATAGAAATAGAAATAGAAACAACTACAGCAGTATCGCTAAAAGTTGCATGCCCCTGACAAGGAGAGACTCGAAGGAAGAAACAAAGGTCGCACTCTCCTGTTCCACGACAGCTCATCACACTTTTTACGGACGGTTGTTCAGTGGAGAAGAGACGTTTAATTCCCGTGGTCAGAACACTACATAGCATTCTCGCTTGAATGAGTCAGGAAACGGAGCAGAAGAGCCAGTTCATTTCTAACTCTCTTCTGCGGGACGATTAAGGCCACATGGTCGGCTGCTAAGTCTACACCTGTGTTTTTTTCTCCTGTGGATAATAAACTACTAAAAAACCGCGGTGTGGATGCTGCTCAAAAAAAAACGAAGCTCTGGCTCTCAACAAAGCGAAAACTTAAAGGCAGTTGGCACGATGGTTTCCTACTTAGCCTAAAATGCTAGTAGGGCGCTGTATAGTGGGGAAATGGCGAAAGAACGGAGTGAAACGGTCAAAATCCTGCGAAGAAAAAGCCTCCGTTCTCAGTGACTTGAAAATCGATTTCGGACGAGTTTCCCGTAGGCATCTTACCAATCACCGCTACCGAAGATACGCTGCATATGTGTACCCATGTATGCATGCAGCATCACGGCCGCTTCATACCAATCCCTTCGCTTCATAATTTGCTTAGCAAATGAATGAATACGAGCGTCAGGAACGGTCGTCCATTTGTGGGCGGGCGGGCGTTTGGGACGTAAAGTTGTGGCTTGATAGGGCCCTTATAAGGGCACCTTCCTCGGGGAAACCGCTATGCAGCGCCTGCCCAGGGTCGCGGAATTCTATCCTGCCAGGAGTATTGATCCTAGTCGCCTTGGGGATTTATCGTGCCAACTGCCTTTAAGCCCGGTGCCACGCTCAGAGTACCGAAACATTTATCATTTT